AATAAATAAATAAAATAAAAAAAGAAAAATAGCTACTTTTTTTTTTTTTTTTTTTTTTTTTTTTTTGTTGAGATGGAGTCTTGCACTTTCACCCAGGCTGGAGTGCAATGGCACAATCTCAGCTCACTGCCACCTCTGCCTCCCAGGTTCAAGCGGTTCTCCTGCCTCAGCCTCCCAAGTAGCTGGGATTACAGGCATGTGCCACCATGCCTGACTAATTTTTGTATTTTTAGTAGAGAAGGGTTTCACCATGTTGGCTAGGCTGGTCTTGAACTCCTGACCACAAGTGATCCACTGCTTTGGCCTCCCAAAGTGCTGGGATTACAGGTGTGAGCCACTGTACTTGGCCAAAAAATAGCTACATTTTTTATTTCAAAACTTCTAAGCATTGGACCATGAAAACTGTTTTTTTTTTTTTTTTTCTTTTTGATACCACAGCAACAGCAATACATATTTACTGATTACCAACTCAGTTGAGGCCAAACCCAGTTCTAGGTGCTGAAGACGGAGCCTAGATCAAGATTGACTTGGTCCTGGCATTCCTGAAGTTCCCAGCCTGGAAGAAGAGACAGATAACAAACAAGTAACAAACACAGAAATGTGATTCTTTCTGGGAGTAATAGGTGCTCTGAAAAGAAGAACAACTAGGTGATATGACAGATACTGATTGGGATGGGGGCCTTCTCAGACTGGGTGACAGGAAAGATCTTCTGAAATCTGCCTGTTATGCAGGAGCCAGCCCCTAATAGTTGTGGAGGAAGAGCAGTAGGAAGTGGGTGCAGTCAGGGCAAAGCCTCCAAGGTGGGACTAAGCCTGGCAGTGGGATTTCAGTGAGTGAATAAGGTTAAAGAGTAGGAAGAGGTAAGGTCAGCAGTGTGGGCAGGGGCCAGATCAAGCAGGGCCTTGAAGGCCATGGTAAAGCATTTGGAATTTGCTTTGACTATGCTGGAAAGCCTTCAAGGGTTTTAAGCAAGAGGAACTTGAACTTATTTAAGTTTTGTTTGCTTGTTTGTTCTGAGGCAGAGTTTTGCTCTTGTTGCCCAGGCTGGAGTGGAATGGTGCAATCTCAGCTCACCACAACCTCCGCCTCCCGGGTTCAAGAGATTCTCCTGCCTCGGCCTCCCAAGTGGGTGAGATTACAGGCATGTGCCACTAGGCTCAGCTAATTTTGTTAGTTTTAGTAGAGATGGGGTTTCTCTGAGACACTGATCACCACCTGTGGAGGTCTGTCCTGCAGACTTTGACTTAGCAATGGATGAATAAATGTACATACACACACTAGAATACAGTGAATTGAGTGGGCTAGGGATGGTCCTCAGCTGCTCTCAGAGGGCAACTGCAGCTAACTGACTACTACTCCTTGTTCCTCCTCACATTTATTCACTATAGATTTAATAACAGAGGTTCTAAGTCAACACACTTGTGGATAATTATTGTGGTTAAAAGAGTGGTTTTATGAATGATAAAAGCTTTTGGTTCTGGGCCTAGAGTAAACACCATTAACAGGTAATTCCTTTTTGACCTCCCCCCGAGAGGACCATCCAGCACAAAGTTTACATGAGTAAACAGAGTAGAGACAAAGAGATGTGGGGTAAACAGACTTAACTAGGGAAGCTTTTATTATCTTTAATATTCACCTTATGATTTAATGCTCTAATGTAAGAACTGGCTGCTTTCAGCTTGTTCCATAAGTTAATAAAAACCTTTTGGCCTTCCAAAACGTTAGAGATTATATAACTTTTCTTTAATATTTCCTTGAATATTTTGCCAGCCACCTTGAGTGAATCTCAACATTTCTCCATGTTGGTCAGGCTGGTCTTGAACTCCCAACCTCAGGTGATCCACCCGCTGTGACCTCCCAAAGTGCTGGGATTACAGGTGTGAGCCACTGCGTGTGGCCTGATTTTTACTGAACAATCACTCTAGCTTCTGGGAGATGCCTAACCAAAATGCAAGTTTAAAACTATATTCTAAAGTACTTTAGGGCCAGGTGCAGTGGCTCATGCCTGTATAGTATAGCACTTTGGAGGCCAGGTGCAGTGGCTCATGCATGCTAGTATAGTACTTGGGAGGCCAAGGCAGGAGGATGGCTTGAGCCCAGAAGTTCCACACCAGCTTGGGCAACATAGTGAGACCCTTTCTCTACAGAAAAATTTAAAATGAGCTGGGCGGCCTGGCACAGTGGCTCATGCTTGTAATCCCAGCACTTTGGAAGGCCAAGGTAGGTAGATCACTTGAGGTCAGGAGCCAACATGACCTTGCCAATATGGCAAAACCCTGTCTCTACTAAAAGTACAAAAATTAGCTGGGTGTGGTGATGTGCACCTGTAATCCCAGCTATTCAGGAGGCGGATGCATGAGAATTGCTGCAACCGGGAGTTGGGGGTTGCAATAAACTGAGATTGTGCCATTGCATTCTAGCCTGGGTGACAGAGTGAGACCCTGTCTCAAAAAAAAAAAAAAAAAAAAAAAAAAAAAAAAAAAAAAAAAAAAAAAAAAAAAAGCCAGGTATGGTGGTGACATATGTCTATATGTAGTCTCAGTTACTCAGAAGACTGAGGTGGAAGGATCATTTAATCCCAGGAGGATGAGGCTGCAGTGAGCCATGATTGTGCCACTGCACTTCAGCCTGGGCAACAGAGAGAGACCCTGTCTCAAAGACAAAACAGAACCAAAAAAGTGAAGTACCATTAGGTCACTAAATCACAGTATAACAATTTTTTACATTTATTGGTCAAATCATATTTCTTTTACATAATTATCTGAGACACATTAAACAGCAAGTTAAATGTAAAAAGCAAAAATTTGTCTTCATATATTATGAATGTTAGCTAAAATTTTATTTGAAGTGACCTTTATAATACGATCTTTCATATTCTAAAAATAGAACATGAATATTTTTAGTGAAAATCAATCACTTCTTTATCATATACTATCCAAAAATGACTAATTATTCAACATTTCCTAGGTGTATTCTGTGAGTCAAAAAAGGATTAGAAAACCCTGCCCAATATGACTCCTTACCTGAGAGAAACAGCATCTCTGCACCTCACAGCAAAGTCGAGCCCTGTTAATATGCTCTCCAATGCACACAACCAGAGTTCCTTATTTATATAGTGTCTCCAGGCACCCAAGAGCTAATTCTTTTTTTTTTTTTTTTTTTTTTTTGAGACAGAGTTTCCCTCTTGTTACCCAGGCTGGAGTGCAATGGCGCAATCTCAGCTCACCGCAACCTTTGCCTCCTGGGTTCAGGCAATTCTCCTGCCTCAGCCTCCTGAGTAGCTGGGATTACAGGCATGCGCCACCATGCCCAGCTAATTTTTTGTTTTTTATTTGTTTGTTTGTTTGTTTTTGAGACCGAGTTTCGCTCTTGTTACCCAGGCTAGAGTGCAATGGCGCGATCTTGGCTCACCACAACCTCCGCCTCCTGGGTTCAGGCAGTTCTCCTGCCTCAGCCTCCTGAGTAGCTGGGATTACAGGCACGCGCCACCATGCCCAGCTAATTTTTTGTATTTTTAGTAGAGGCGGGATTTCACCATGTTGACCAGGATGGTCTCGATCTCTTGACCTCGTGATCCATCCGCCTCGGCCTCCCAAAGTGCTGGGATTACAGGCTTGAGCCACCACGCCCGGCGCCCCAAGAGCCAATTCTAAAGGGAATTCATCACTGCCACCAACTGGCCCTGGGTCTCCATGGGTACCGTGCCTGTCTCCTGGGCATGCCTTTTGCGGAACGTTACCATCCATCTAACACAGAAATACTCCTTCAACAGACAGGTCAGGCCTGGGTTGGGGCTAGAGGTGCAGAGACACCTGGGACCCAGGTCCTGTTCCAAGGGGCACTACACAGATCACAGGATGGTGTGATAACTGGTGATAGTTGTAACTCGAACCCAGCTGGGGCTCGTGTCTGAGAAGCTTGAACTCAGTGTAGGGGTAGGAAAGTACTCCTGGAGGAGGTGATGCATAGTTAGAAGCCAGGCTCCCTAGAAGGGATGGTGTTCCAAACATCAGGCTCCGCCTGTGCAAAGGCCATGGGTATCTAAGACAATGACATGTGGGGGACTGAGCCCAGCTCACTGTGGAAGCAGAGCAGGCTACACTGTCCTGCGGTGTCTGGGCCTTCTTCCGCTTTCTAAATCCTCTGATCCGTCCCCATCAGAATCTCAACAGACTCATCACCTCCAGGGCCTGCACTGCTCTCCCAGCGTTGCTCGATTTCTCTCGTTTCCTTGGGATGGACAGCTCTGCCAGCACTCAGAGGGCAGGGCCTCCTGGCATGTCCCAGGGTGAGGCTGTACCCAGTGAGTCCCTCCTTAGGTGTCTCCCAGGAGCCTGGGCCTGCAGAGCTGGGGGTAGCCACATAGCTGGAGACAGTTTGACCATAGATCCCTGCGACCCATGATTCACTTTCAAGGGTACCTACAAGAGATGTGTCTGCACCACCAGAGCCCGCCCAATGGGGTGAAGCGTGGGACCCTGAGTCAGGTCACTGGGTTGCGCCGTCTCAGCCACCCACTGCCTTGCAATCCCAGGCAAGCAAGCCCCTTCTCTCTGGGCCAGCGGCTTTCCAGATGAAACCAGCTGCATCCCTTTGCTCTCAGGGACCTAAAATTTGAGCGACCATGTGGAGCCCTAAACCTTTTTGCCTCTTGTCCTCTCAGCCCCGCACCCACCAGGTGTTTTTGTGCCACGGAACCTGTGCGTGTGCTCTTCTCGAGGCCTAGAGTCTCTCTCTCTCCCTCTGGTCAACTCTTATTTCAATCCCTCACAGACCCAACTTTAACGTCATCATCCTCGGAAAGCGGGGATTCCTCCTTCCAGTCTCTGCTTCCTTAGCTCGCTGTCCTGCTGCTGCGCGCCCTCAGCGTCCGCAGACAGCCGGGGGCTGGGGGCCTCCAAGTCCAGCAGGGCGCTCTAACCGGCCCGCGGCGGCGTGGGGCGCGTCAGCGGCTCTCGGACTCGGCCCGGGCGCGGCGGGGTTAAGAGACCCGGGCCTTGAAGGCCCCGCCTCCGGAACGGGCCACTCCGTGGGGGAAGCTGTCCCGAAGGCTCCGACCTCGCTCCCGCTTATAAGCCTCGCAGCCACAGGAGCCCCTGCTTAGGTGAACATTTCGGACGGGCAGCGGCGGTGCAGACCCCGAAGCGGCCTCCCCCAGGGTCGGCATTCGGCCCTCCCAGCCAGAGCGCTCTTGGGACAAGCCGGGGATTCCCCGCCGCCGCCCGCCCCCTGTCGTCACGGAGTCTCCGCGACGTCCAGCCTCGGCCTGGCGCCGTCCCGGGCGGGAGGAGCGCGCCGCGAGGCGGGAGAACGCGGCCATGGCGGGGCCCAGGGTCCCCGGCGCCCCCGCAGCCCGCTGGAAACACCACATCGTGCGGCAGCTGCGGCTTCGGGACCGCACGCAAAAGGCGCTCTTCCTGGAGCTGGTGCCGGCCTGTGAGTGCACCCCGGGGCTGAGAGGATGGCCGCTGAGGGGTCGCGGCTCCGGGCGCGGGGAGAGGGTTTGGCTGGTTCCTCCGCCGGTGACCCGAGTGCGCGGTGCCTAGTGGCTTAAGCCTGTGCGTTACGCCCACTCTGACTGCCAGGACTCCTCCCCTTGCCATCCAGGCTCGGCTTAGAACCTGGACGAACCCCGCCTAGTCCCCCTGCCTTTGTCGCTCAGGACGGGGCCCTGCCTCCCACGAGCTGGGCTTCCTAGGCGTAAGTGCGTCCCCAGGTGTTGGTTTTGCAGAGTCTCTTGTGCCTCCCCTCCCAAGCGGTCCCCCGGGTAGGGGCTTGATCAGTGCACTTGGTCCGGGTAGCGCAGTGAAAAAACGCGGGACTTGTCCAGAGCCGCCACTTATTGGCCCATTCGGAGAGGGGTGACACTCGGAACCTCTAAGGAGGAGGCTGTGCATCTCAGGCTCTGCCGCCCACAGGCGACGCTGGCGCAGGCTTATGGAGCACCTCCCCATCAGCCTACCCAGCCTAGGGGACATCAGGGGGCCCCCGAGCTGCGGACGGATGCTGGCTGAGCCCAGGCAAGTCGGACTCGCACAGAATTATTTCTGAGCAGCTGGTCAGGAAAGGGTGTGGGAATTCAAGACGGGTTGAACAGGTGTGCCTGTGTCTCGTGCCTCTGGTCACCTGAGATTGTATGTCTAGGGTTGGAAGTCTAACCACAATCCCAGCGGCTCTCTCACTGGGGAAACTTGGCCAAATCTGCTCTTATCCAGGAAAATTTCTCTGCAAGCTTCCAGGCTGCTGCCTCTCTACCTTCAGGGTTTCGAGGCCAGCCCCCACCTCCAGCAGCCACATTTTCCCACTGCTCAGATGGACAGTGGAACCGTCCAGTTTGAGGGAGGGGTCACCACCCCCCAACTCTTAAGGAGCTGTGAGTCTGAGGGACTGAAGAGACCTAGAGGGCTGAAATCAGACCGAAGTGACGGTCTTGAGGTCTTGGGGAGGTCACATCCCTAAGCCTCAGTCTTTTTACCTGTTAATTGGGTATGGAGACCTTCAGGTTTGCTGGGGGGTGCGGTGCCCTGGGGGCTGAGGTGGAGTTTGTGTGAGAACTAGGCCAGGCCCAGGAGCCTCAGTCAAGGTGACAGGGCACTGGGTATGGGAAGGAAGTTGATGAGGAGGGAGCTAGGCCTGGGCTTACCACCCCACCCTCCCCTGGAACTGGTGAGAAAAGAGGAAGTGACTGTGGATGGGGGAGGGGGTGTGTTCCAGGGTCAAAAGGTCTGCTGGATAATTGCTCAAGGACTTTCTATTCCGGCCTGGGCGTACCTTACACCAGCCCTGGGGAAGTTGGGATTATTTTAAAGTGCAGAGAGCTGGAGCCCATGGAGGGGAAGTGACTTGCCAAAGGCCATTGACAGGTGGAGCTCTGTTTCATCACTTTCTGGGACTAAGCCTTGCTCTGAAGCAGGAATGAATCAACCCCATGCATTTTCCTTCCCTCAGGACCGTCAGTGGGCAGTACCCCACAGTGGTCATCCTTCTGTCCCCGGGAGAGCAGGTCCTGTTCCGGGTGGGCCTGAGGACCTGTGCTATGATGATACTGCTAGGGCTGAAGGTCCTGTAGAGCTGCACAGATGCCCCTCAGGCACAGGGCAGAGGCCAGCCTGACAGAAGCTTCCCCATCGCTAGCGTCTCTGGGCACCTGCAGCCCTCCCAGTCTGAGGGAACTTGCATGCCAGGAGGCTGCTAGGTATCTGTCTCTGCCCCAGGCTCACCCTCTTGTACCCCCCAGATAACCATCTCTTAGAGAAGGCTGAGCTGCTGGACAAGTTCTCAAAGAAGCTGCAGCCGGAGCCAAACAGTGTCACTCCCGCCACCCACCAGGGCCCCTGGTGAGTGTGTGTATGTGTTCGTGTTCACAAAGGGCTGCCTGTGCTGGGGCCCTGCCCCCGCCGCCTGTGCTGGGTTCATTCTCTCTCTAGTGCCTCATCAGCCCCTGGCTGCTGCCCAGGTGTGGTGGGGGTCAGGGAGAGGCAGGCCCTTGGCCTTCCCACAGGCCAGCTGCTTAGAATCTCTTCCCCCTCTACCTTTCTTTGTCCATCTCTCTGCATTTGTCCCATCCCTTCCCCTCCCACCCCTATACTCTTTTCCCCTTCTCAGTCTTTTTCCATTTCCCTGTTCCTTACCTGATGCCGAAAGAACGTGTCTTGTTACCTATTCCAAAGAGGGAGTAAAGATGAGAACCAGGAATGGGCTGTGGCTCAGAGTAGAGACGTGCTTCTTGAGAAGGGTCCTTGGCCAACGCCTAGGGGAATCTTGCAGCAGAGGAGTCATGGACAGCTCATTTCTAGACTTGCCTTTTCCTTTACTAGCTTGGTGGCTTCCATCTTCCCAGGGGGAAGTTAATGGCTCTTGTTTTAGGCTTTTCATGTAGCATCCCTTGGGTGCCTTTGGGCTCTTGGGTAAATCTGGCGATACTGAGCACCACTCTGATTGGTTGGCAGGGAGGAGTCAGGGCCTGACTCAGACCAAGTCCAATCACTGGCCATTCTGAAGGTGAAGTGGCAGGAGGAGGAGGAGGGGCTCCAACTGGACTGTGGTGAGGTAAGTTGGGTAGGGGTTTGAAAATGGGGTGGAGAGATGTGGTCGAAGGGAGCCAGCCAGTGAGGGACACTCCTGTGTTTGCTGCATTCTCTAAGTGCACTGCTGCAAGCATTGAGTGATCCCCAGTGTATGCCAGGGCCTGACTGGAAGCTAGGCAGGGGTCAGAATGCCCCAGGCAGCACAAGATGAAGTGGGCTCCAACAGCAGCTGGAGGGAGTTAGGTGTGCAGGGGCCTGGCAGCCCGTTTTCCCTTCCACATGGTTTAGCCTGCTCTGCTCACTTCTACATGGCTCACCCCTTGCCCAGCCATCCCCAAGGCCTAGCTCCAGCTGATGCCCAATGTACATTTGCAGACTACAGGAGTAAGGTTCATTTAGCCCACTGGCAGGGTGCAGACCCTCCACCTGACACCACCACCTTCCCTGCCCCCTTGCAACTGTGTCTCTTGGCCTCTCTTTCACCATGCTCTCTTGGTTTCCCTTTCATTTCTGTGGCTGTTGGCTCTGAACTTCCTTTGCTGGCTCCTCTCCCTCCTCCCTATTCTTCTCCCTTCAAATGGGTGTTCTTGGGGCTCACTGACTCCCATGGCCTCAGGGATTTTATCCTTGTCTGTCAACTCTCAGATCTGTCTCTAGCCCAGCCTTCTTTTCTGACCTTCTGACTCTCTTGCTCAGCTGCTTTATGGACATCACATCTAAAATCAGACTCACCATCTCCCCGATAGTAGGGCCCACACCATTTCGAGAGTTGACTCCCTGCTAAGCATTGCCTCAGTTAACCCTTCACAACTTTCTGGTTGCAGAGGAGGAAACTGAGGCTTGGCGAGGTAGAGCCAGGATTTGAGCCCCTCCCACACAAATCACCTTCTGTGCTCTCCATTCTCTCAACAACTGTTGATGATTGCTATATCAAAGGAACAGGAAATGCAGCAGTAAACAAGACCTGACCCCATGGGGCTTCCAGTCCTCTGAAGAAGACTGTGATAGCAAAGTAAATACATCCAATCACAGCATGGCAGGTCACCTGCCCAACAGAAGTGTGGGCATAGGTATGGATTCATTTGAGAACCTCTCCCTAGAGCTGCTCTTATAGGTCCAATTTGATATTTGTTTGAGAGGATTCTCAAACATCTGAGCCTCCCCGTTCTGCCCTCTGGGCTGTGTGCTCCCCAAGCCCTGAGATGTCTTGGTTTGCCTTCAAGGCAAACCTACATCCTTCGGGCCTTTGTCCACAGTCCATACTAATGACTATTTGTAGACTAAGCGATGAATGAGGTAGGCCGTTCCTGTGACTGCCCCCAGTGGTTCTCTTACATGCTGGAAACCCAGGGGCACCTCTGACTCCTCCTAGCCCTCCATCCTGAGCTGGTCACAAGCTCATGTTGACTCTACCTCCAAATCCATCAGTGTCCCTATGTTTCATGTATCATATCTGACCTGGTACAAGTAACCTTCATCCTACCCTGAAACACTCCTTCAGCACTCCCTGTCCCTTCTCCGTACAGCTTTCAGAGTGACATATTTTAATTAAAAAAATGATATCCATTAGAGACAAACAATACACAAAACATGCTTGTAAGCAAGTCAAAGAGAACAGAAGCCCACAGAGCAAAAATTAAAAGCCCGTCTTCCACCTATCCCCATGGTCAGCGTGCTGTAGATCTTCCAAAGCTCCTAGCGTGGCTCCCCTGTTGAGGTCTCCAGCCTATTGTTGCTTCTCCTGCCACTCTCATCTCTGAGCTCACGGCTCCCTTTGCCTGAGATACTTTCCTGCACCCCAGCACTCCTTCCCTGGATGTATACCAGCCAGTACCCAGTGGATGGGCCAGTGGATGGGGGCAGTGGAGAAGCTTTTTCTTTCCTTTTAAAAAATTTCCTTTAGTAGTTCCACACATCACAAGCATTTATTATTATTACTTTATTTGTTTATTTTTATTTTATTTTTTATTTTTTTTTTTTGAGACGGAGTTTTCGCTCTTGTTACCCAGGCTGGAGTGCAATGGCGCGATCTCGGCTCACCGCAACCTCCGCCTCCTGGGTTCAGGCGATTCTCCTGCCTCAGCCTCCTGCCTAGCTGGGATTACAGGCACGAGCCACCATGCCCAGCTAATTTTTTGTATTTTTAGTAGAGACGGGGTTTCACCATATTGACCAGGATGGTCTCGATCTCTTGACCTCATGATCCACCCGCCTCGGCCTCCCAAAGTGCTGGGATTACAGGCTTGAGCCACCGCGCCCGGCTATTTGTTTATTTTTGAGATGGAGTCTTGCTCTGTTGCCCAGGCTGGAGTGCCAGTGGCGTGATCTCAGCTTACTGCAACCTCCACCTTCTGGGTTCAAGTGATTCTCCTGCCTCAACATCCTGGAGTAGCTGAGGATTACAGGTGTGCGCCACCATGCCTGGCTAATTTTTGTATTTTTAGTAGAGACGGGGTTTCACCATGTTGGTCAGGCTGCTCTTGAACTGCTGATGTTGTGATCCGCCCACCTAAGCCTCCCAAAGTGCTGGGATTACAAGCATGAGCCACTGCACCCGGCCAACTTTTTATTTTAAAATAATTATAGATTCACAGGAAGTTGCAAGGATAGTCCAGAGAGTTCCTGTGTCCCCTTCCCCCAGTGTCTCCCACTGGCTACATCTTACATAACTATAGAACCCACAACCAGGAAACTGGGATTGGTAAGAAGTGTGTATATGTCCTTTGTCATTTTATCACATGTAAATTTGTATAACTGTCAAGATATGGCACTGTTTCACCACTACAAAGATCTCTTTCTTGCTACCCTCTTTTAGTCACATTCACCCCTCTCTCCCCTAGTTACCCCTGGCAACTGCTAATCTGTTTTCCATCGCTACCACTTGAATTTTGAAAGGCATACAGGGAGCTGTGGTGGCTCAGTTCTGTTGTCCTGGAGCATGAGGAGGCTAGGCGTTTGAGGTCAGCCTGGGCAACATAGAAACCTCTCATCCATTAAAAAAAAAAAAAAAAAAAAAAGGGCTGGGTACAGTGGCTCACGCCTGTAATCCCAGCACTTTGGGAGGCTGAGGTGGGTGGATCACAAAGTCAGGAGTTCAAGACCAGCCTGGCCAACATAGTGAAACCCCATCTCTACTAAAAATACAAAAAATTAGCCAGGCGTGGTGGTGTGTGCCTGTAATCCGAGCTACTCAGGATGCTGAGGCAGGAGAATCACATGAACCCGGGAGGCGGAGGTCGCAGTGAATTGATATCAAACCATTGCACTCCAGCCTGGGCAACAGTATGAGACTCTGTCTCAAAAAAAAAAAAAAAGGTATACAATAAACTATTGAATAGCGTAACACAACCTAAATGAAAGCAAATGACAAGTGAAAAAGTGGAGGTGTTTAGCAGATTGCTCAGTGGTGAAAATAATTATGTTATAAATGGGGCCAACTATGAATAAAGGTGCCTCACCCCGCATGTGCAGGTTCCCTCTCCACAGATTCACTCACATAGGGTGTCATGTCAGTGCAGGTGGCAGCACCAGCCTTGGTCCTCAGTCTGTCCTCACTAGGCCCACGTGAAAAGAACACAGGAAGATTAGCAACAAGAGTCCCCAGGCCTGGTCCGGACCAGAGGCGCCTCTGGCCCACATGTTCTCTTGCCACCCTGGTGGGAGCTGCCTTGCCTGGGGTCTGTCTCTCCCATCGACCCTGCTTGGCTCTGGGTCGAAGGCATGTCGAGTGAGGCAGGGGTGCAGATGAAATGGCCCTGGGCTGCCAGGCTGCTCCCGTATTGAGAGGAGAGGTCCTGGGCTGCCAGGCTGCTTCCGTATTGAGTCTGGACCCTGGCTCCCCCAGTTCATGCCTGATCTTAGCGTTATTTGCCTCTGCGCTGGGCTTCTCGCTGCTGAGACCTGTGCTTGGGCAGGCCTGGGTTGGACGAGGCCAGGAAGCCAACTGGGAGGAGTGGGGAACAGAACTCACATCGCCTGACCAGTGCTTTGCCTGGAGGCTGATGCAGTTCGGTGGCTTGGGCTCAAATCTCTTAGCTACCTGACTTTAGGCAAGACACTTAAATCTCTCTGTCGTTGTCCTAGTCTGCGAAGGGAGAGTGGCAGTGCCAGCCTCCTGGTGTGGTGAGGAGGGAAGAAGTGTGTAGCTGCTGGGGGCATCACGGCGCCCGAGCTCCGGATGGGCATTTGCCAGCCGCCGCGCTGGGAGTCCTCGCAGTGATTCTGCATGGCGCTGGGAGCGGAGCGCTGGCTTCCCACTCTTCAGGCGAGGCAGTGGAGGGGTTGCTCTTGCCAGAGAGGTTCCCAGTAGGGTAGCAGAGAAATGAAGCGGCACTGCGAGGATTGAGACCCAGGGCAGAATCCAGAGCACGAGGCCCTTCCACTGCTCCACAAACAGCAGCGCATCCCTGTGCAAGGTCCCAAACCTGTGTGGGGCTCAGCTTTCTTTTCAGGACGGGGGCGGCAGGGGAGCAGCCGACTGTCCCTTAGCGCCTTTGGCCCGGGAGGGACTGAAGGCCTGGAGAGGCCTCAGCGCCGCGGTGCCCACCTGTCCGCCCCCAGATGGCCTACCAGGTGGTGGAGAAGAGCGCGGCCCTGGGAGCCCTGGAGTCGGAGCTGCAGGAGCGGCGAAGCAGGTGAGATGCGGGCGCGGATGGGAGGGACCGCGCCCACTTCAGGGAGGCCCGGGGCCAACTATGTCGAAGGCAGGGGAATGGCACTGGCCAAGAGCTTTCCCCATGTCCTCCCGAACGCCCCCTGAGCCCATCGGTTGGTGCCAGAGAACCGAACGGCAGGGCTCTGAGGGCGAAGGCTTGGGGGAGACATGGCTTAGCCACCCGGCTGGCCCTGTGGCAGGGGCAGGTCTGTCTTGGCTCCAAGGCAGGTTCCCACTGGGCAGTGACGGGGGAGTCTAGGGACCCGCCATCCGCTCTCTCCATCCTTCAGGCTGGCGGCCCTGGAGGCCCGCGTGGTGCAGCTGCGAGAGGCGCGGGCGCAGCAGGCCCGGCAGGTGGAGGAGCAGCGGGCGCAGAACGCCGTGCAGCGGGAAGCCTACGAGGCGCTTCGCGCCCACACCGGGCTCCAGGAGGCGGCACTGCGCAGGCTCCAGGAGGACGCGCGCGACCTGCTGGAGAGGCTTGTGCAGCGCAAGGCCAGCGCCGCCGCTGAGCGCAACTTGCGCAACGAGCGCCGGGAGCGGTGAGGAAGCGGCCCCGCCCCTTCTGAGGAACGGCTCCGCCCCTGCAGGGAGGAATCGGGACTCCCAGTTGTCTGGAAGGGAGGAGGGCCGCAGCCGCCCCCTGGGGGAAGGGACCGGGTCGCGCCCCGCCTCCGTGCGAGGCGCCGCGCCAGCTCTCAGGACGCTTTTCACTCAATCAGGGCCAAGCAGGTGCGGGTGTCCCAGGAGCTGAAGAAGGCTGCCAAGCGGACCGTGAGCATCAGCGAGTAAGAGGGGGGATGGGCCAGTCCGACCCTTGGGTTCTGCTTCCCATCCCTGCCTGCCAGCGGAGATCCAGGCCGCCGACTGTACTGTGCACAGCCCCGTCCCGCGACCCTCAAGTGGTCGGGGCCCACGGGACACCTGCGGAGAACCGTGTGGTCTTAGGAGCCTCCGTGCGTGTCCGCTGCACGTGTGCCCACACAGAACTCTCTTCACTGCCAATTCCTGTCTTCACCGTGTCCTGTGCTGGGGAAAGGAGCGGCTGGCTTGGTCCATTGGCCTTTCTGAGCTTCATTACCTCTCCCAGGAGCCCGGACACCCTAGGCGATGTGATGAGGGAGAGAACCGAGACTCTGGCCCTGGCTCCTGAGCCAGAGCCCCTGGAGAGTAAGGCTTGTGAGAAGTGGAAGAGGCCCTTCAGGTGAGGACCCAGGTGACGGTCCCAGAGCTCTAAGCTGAGCCCCAGCCCAGAGGCTGCCAGGGTCTTTCTGTTGGACCTTGGAGTCAGCTCTTGGGTTGGGAGGGGTTTTGAGGAGAGGTCGGAAAGCTCAGACCTTCCAGGACTAGTCTGACATCCATTGGAGCCACTTGGGGTCAGTTCTATCTCACCCCAACCCCTACCCTCAACCCTTTTCCTCCTTCCTGAAATCAGAGTTCTGGGAGTGGGGTGTCAGGCTTGTGAATAGCTATCACCAGGAGGGAACCTGTGGGCTGAGCCCAGCCATGCCAGGTGTGTGTGTGCAGCCATAGGTGTGCAAGCATGTGCATCTGCAGGGACGAGGCACAGGTGTGTACAAGTTTGACTGAGACTGAGTCCATCTGTGTGTGTGAACATATAAGCATGTGTAGATGTGTGTTCACACTGGTAGGACTGGATTGGGCATTAGTCCTTGGGTGCCCCTCTGCAGAGTCTCCCCCATTTTTCTTGATTTGCCTGTTATTGAGACTGCCCTCTCTGGGCCCCATTCCCGAGCCTAATGCCTCTTCTCAGTCTTTCCTTGCAGGTCCCTGGTATCCAGGTCTTGGGGCAGTGAAGAAACCATGGGGGGGGGCATGAGATGCCAGTTCCCAGTGTCCTTGGCAGCCATTCTGGGCCAAGTTATTTGCAGGTCACACCCTCTCCTGGGCATTGCTGAGGTCACCCAGCAAGCTTAGGCTTCCCCCACTCCTATCCCCAGCCTGGGGGAATCTTCAGCACCTCTCCTCCCTGTAGGCCCCAGCTCAGCTTCCCAGGAACTTTTGTTGGTGGATACTTGTAGGGTGAGACGGTTCTTCCCATCATGATGGAGACCTTGGGAGATTTTCATTACCAAATCCATCGCTGCCGTGACCTTCCTCGGACTGGTCTGGGTCACTCTACTCTCCTGGTCTTGGAGAGGTCGAGTTCTTGTCCCAGACTTGAGAGGTTGCGAGCCTCCAGGTCTCTTGACAGTTTGAAGATGATGGACAGCCATTTGTACACATACCAGCCAGTCCCTTAGCACGTCTCTCTCGGTTTTGTCCCAGGTCTGCCTCAGCCACCTCTCTGACGCTGTCCCGCTGTGTGGATGTGGTGAAGGGTCTTCTGGAGTAAGTGTGTGTGTGCCTGTGTGTGCACCCACATATGTTGGGTTCCCCAGTCCAGGCTTGGTCTGTGTCTGTGCCTGTGCCTCAGCCTGTCTGTCCCTGTGGTACACAGCTGTCTGCCTGTGAGTCTGTTGGGTCTTGGAGCCAGGAGCCAGGTGAATGGCCTCAGCCCCAAGCCCCTGCTCAGCTGTCTTCCAGGTTCTGTCCTCACAAGGTTCTGTCTTCATCCAGGGTCCTCACAGGGGACCAAGAGCTTCAGCCTGAGGCAGGACAGGAACTCCCACTCAATTGGGAAACATTCTCAGAAATGTCAGGGACTCATTCAGAGTCACAGAGCCCAGCAATGGCAAGACTGGGATTGAAACCTTAGCCCTGAGGTTTCTCTGCACCTACCAACCCTCCCCTGCTCCTGCCTCTGTATGCTCCCCACCCCTTTCCACGCCAATCCCTGGGGTTGAGGCTGGGTTTGGGAATGCACTGGTTGCTCCTTAGGGCTGTATTCTGCCTCCTGCCCTGTCTGCTTCCCATGGTTGATGCCTCAGGGGAGCTGGAGGTTCCCACCTGAGAAGTTCCCACCTAAGAAGGGCTAAATGCCCTCCTGACCCCAACCCACCTTACCCCCAGTTTTAAGAAGAGGAGAGGTCACTCGATTGGGGGAGCCCCTGAGCAACGATACCAGAGCATCCCTATGTGTGTGGCCGCCCGACTTCCTACCCAGGCTCAGGATGTGCTGGTAAGGGAGGAGCTGGGCCACATGGGTGGGGCAGTGGTGATGGAGTACAGCCATGGGGACAGTCCTGGCACGGGGGGTGGTCCCAGGAGGCCAGGGAAGCACGGCTGGGCTCCGCAGCAGGAGCAGGAGGCTGCCTCCCACAGCCTGTGGTGGAAGCCACTCAAGCATATTATGATGTGAGCTTGGGAGGGAGAGAGAGAAGGCTGGGAGGCCAGGAAGTCAGATAGGGGAGTAGGGTAGCATAGCACGAGGCTGCTGCAGGGATCCAGGCAGAGGTGAGAACACCTGGTGGGACTAGGTTTGAAATTCAAATGTGTGGACAGAGACTGGGGATGCAGTATCACATCTGCAGTGGGCTGGGCTGTGTCTACACGAGCACCCATGAGAGAGGGCTTGTGAGCACTCACAGAGGTATGTGCAGGGAGGGCCGGGGCACCAATCTCCCTTTTCCCCACAGGACGCTCACCTCTCTGAGGTCAATGCTGTTCGTTTTGGCCCCAACAGCAGCCTCCTGGCCACTGGAGGGGCTGACCGCCTGATCCACCTCTGGAATATTGTTGGAAGTAAGGAGCCCTCCCCTGCAGGCCAACCCTGTGCTTCTCTCCAAACCCCCTCCTCAGCTCACTCTTTGGTGGACAGAGGTCCTGGATCTCTTTGTTTCCCCATCTAGAACATTCTGTGGGCAGTGACTAGACAATGCCTTGACAAGAGTGAGACTCTGGATTCGCTGCTCTGAAGATGAGTGGAGCCTCCCAGCTCCTAGGGTCCAGATTTGCAGAATAGGGAGGGCTGAGTTCAGATCATCCTTGTTGGGGGTTGGTGGGGGTCCCCTATCATGAGGTCCTACAGGGACAGGCCCTTGAGGAGCTGGTCCCTGAGTCCCCCAGGTGACCCTCTTCTAGCATCACTTGAACTCTCAGAACTTAGCTAAGAGACAAGTATGAACTGTCTTGCCTTGTCTCAACCTCTGTGCTCTATAGAGGGTTGTGTTCTGGGGAATCAGTGCCCGCTCCTGGGGGCCTCCTAGAAAAGGGAAGTCTCTGGCTAGCCTGACCCTGGCTTGCTGCATGACTTACAGAAGTCCCTTCTCCCTGGTCCTCTCTAGGCCTGGTCTGTGAAATGACTAGCTGTCCCTTGGGACCCAGTGCCAGCAGTTAGGGGAGGTGTAGTCTCCAGCCGAGGCTCCCAGACAGACACAGCAATTCTGTCTTCTAACCTGGGGTGGGGAGGGGGCAAGGAGAGATCTTCCCACTGTCAGTCCCAATTCCTCCATTTTGTGAGGTTAGGACCTCATTTCAACTGTCTCTTCTTCTGGTGCCCCCAGGTCGCCTGGAGGCCAACCAGACCCTGGAGGGAGCTGGTGGCAGCATTACCAGTGTGGACTTTGACCCCTCGGTGAGGAACTTTGCCTCAGTGGCATGGGATTGCACCCCTTCCAATCTCCACACTGGGCATTTGAGGGCTCTGGGCCCTGAGGGCACACCATGGATACCCTAGAATCAGCCCTTGGGCTCTTACACAGATCCTCCTCCTTAGGCCAGAGGCTCCTCTGCCTGCCTTGGTGACCTGGGCCATGGGAAGCTCTGGGACAGTCCCTAGCCTCGTTCCCTGGCCTGAAGGATGTTGCCTCTGGCTTAGCACCTCTCACTTCCTCTCCTATTTCTCCAGGGCTACCAGGTTTTAGCAGCAACTTACAACCAGGCTGCCCAGCTCTGGAAGGTGGGGGAGGCACAGTCCAAGGTGAGGCTTGATTGGGGAGGCTGCCTTGGGGGTCAGGGGTCATACTTCAGCACTAGGGGGCCTGTTATGGGGTCTCGGCTGCACTCTTGATATGCATCTGGGGCTGGAGTACAGGAGACACTGTCTGGACACAAGGATAAGGTGACAGCTGCCAAATTCAAGCTAACGAGGCACCAGGCAGTGACGGGGAGCCGCGACCGGACAGTGAAGGAGTGGGACCTCGGCCGTGCCTACTGTGAGCCCCAGCCCCACCTCCCCTCCCCATCAGCCAGAAGCCCCAGGCCAGGGCACAAGGGACCTCGTCTGCTTTCTGGGAGTGGCTCTGAGATTCACAGGCATTTGGGGATAAAACCTCTCAAGGCCCTTCTCTATCTCCCAGTGGTGTTTTCTGCCCTGTTTCTTGGTGACCTTAGGCTGTGGGTAGGAAAAAGATGTGGGTGAGCCCTGGGCTGGGAAGCAGAAGACCTGGGTTCTAGTTTTGGGAGGACACTGTGTTCTGGGCCTCAGCTTCTCCATCTGTCCTGTGGGCTGGCTCCCGACGACCTTCCTCTGAGGCCCTGGGGTCTGCTGCTTGGTCTCCAGGCTCCAGGACCATCAATGTCCTTTCCTACTGTAATGACGTGGTGTGTGGGGACCATATCATCATTAGTGGCCACAATGACCAGAAGATCCGGTTCTGGGACAGCAGGTGACAGGTGCAGGCTGGGGGAGGACTGGGGGAGGCCTGGGGACAGGGCTCCTAAGTTCTTGTTCCCTTCTCTGGTCATGGCAGGAATCTTGGTGGCACTATGGGCAGGCAAGGTTGTGGGGCTGGCACTGCCGGCTGGTGCCACTCAGCTGGGCTCAGCTGCCCAGGAGGCTGTGCCATTGTCTTCATGGCTCTTGGTCCAATGCTGGACTCCACCTGGATCTTGCAACCAAGATGGAGATGCACCGTTTTCCATTTAGTTACCACTTTTACATCAAGAGAAAAAAAACTCTTTTAGTTGTTTTTTAAACCAAAGACCCTAACTTTGGGCTTGAATTGTTTGTAAAAGCAAAGCTAGAGGCCAGGTACAGTGGCTCATGCCTGTAATCCCAGCACTTTGGGAGGCCGAGGCTTGTGGATCACCTGAGGTCAGGAGTTCGAGACCAGCCTGGCCAAAATGGTAAAACCGTATCTCTACTAAAAATAGTAGCCAGGCATGGTGGCAGATGCCTGTAATCCCAGCTACTTGTGAGGCTGAGGCAGGAGAATCACTTGAACCCAGGAGGCAGAGGTTACAATATAGTGAGCCAAGATTGCGCCACTGCACTCCAGCTTGGACAACAGAGCGAGGCTCTGTCTCAGAAGTAAAAAAAAAAAAAAGCAAAGCTAGAGCCAATACTAGGCCTGCCTCAAACCTTTACTCACGGATCTGCAGCTATTATTGTTTGCAACTCTTCTTTCTCTCTCGTATTTTTTTAAAGACAGACTTCACTGCTCAGAAGATAAGGCACTTATTTTAGTGACCCAAGGGTTTCAAGGGCTCCAGCTTTCAAAGTCTAAGTTCCTCGATGGAGGCAGCTGGCTGCAGTGGGGCGAAGGGAAATGAGTCACTGGCAGCCTTTGCTCCAGTGATCCGAGGTCCTGGGGTTTCTCTGGACATGGTTTGCTGGGAAGGCTGCTGTGCCTGGCCCTTTCCTGTCAGGAGTGGCCTGGCTAGGCTGTTCCTTATCCCTGTCTCTGTCCTTGTTCTTCAGGGGGCCCCACTGCACCCAGGTCATCCCTGTGCAGGGCCGGGTCACCTCCTTGAGCCTCAGCCACGACCAGCTACACCTGCTCAGCTGTTCCCGAGACGACACACTCAAGGTCATCGACCTGCGTGTCAGCAACATCCGCCAGGTGTTCAGGTACCAGCCTTGTGCTTGCTGACCCTGTGGCCTTTGCTTGGACAGCTGAGCCTCTCTTCTCCTCTAATAGGCCCTCTTGGACCCCTCCCTGGAGGTCCATCTAGACCAGGTCCTACTGAGGTACCAAATCCTTTGAGAGAGAGGAAGCTCTGGAAGCTCCCTGCAGAGGGCAGAGACCAGTGGTTACCTCTGTTCTGACCCCAGCCCTGTCTGTCCTCAGGGCTGATGGCTTCAAGTGTGGTTCTGACTGGACCAAAGCTGTGTTCAGGTATGTTTGGGAGAGCACATGCCTATGCCCAAGTGTGTCCTGCCGGACCGTGTGTGTGCCCTCCCCTCTAACCCTCTTTTTTTGCTCTGCTGTGGCCACTATAGCCCGGACAGAAGCTATGCACTGGCAGGCTCCTGCGATGGGGCCCTTTACATCTGGGATGTGGACACTGGGAAACTGGAGAGCAGACTTCAGGGACCCCATTGGTGAGCATGGCCTCCCCCCGGCCACCTGCCTGGCCCCAGTCCTGCCAGGCCGATTCCAGGTTCTGACATACTCGGGACCGGGAGTCCCCAGCCCTTGTCCCTCCACTTTCCAGCTGACCAGAGCCCTTTGCAGTTCACAAGGTACTTTCCACATGCACTGGGTCTGTCCTCTCTACAGCCCTGTGAGCTCACTTTACAGATGAGGAAAAAGGCTCAAGAGAGGGCCTCAAACTGCTCAGGTCCAGCAGCAGGGGCACAGCCAGGTTGCAGGTGCAGTTCCTGAAGCCCCCCTGAAGCCTGCCCCTCCCTTTCCCCAGCACTGCTGTCAACGCCGTGGCCTGGTGCTACTCCGGGAGCCACGTGGTGAGCGTGGACCAGGGCAGGAAGATTGTGCTCTGGCACTAGGGCCACGACTTCCCTGCCTGAGCTGGAGCTCTTGCCTGAAGCCTGAAGCTTCCCTCGGCACACAGGGTTCCTGAGCCAGTGGGGCTGGGATTGGGACTGGGGATGGCCTTGGGATTTAATGGGGAAGAAGGCCTGGCAGGACCTAGCCTGTTTGCTTAAAAATGAAGTATGCATTGGGGTATTACAGTAGTTTTTCTTTGTATTTTTATCTCCTCACTTTTTCCCCCAAAGTAGAAAAATTTTATAGCTAAACTGCATCTGCCTGCCTCTTTGCAGCATTCATGGTACAAAGACCTTTGGGCTAGTGGACTCTGGAAGATCCAGGCTTGGCCCCCTTCCTCTTTCCATATAAAGCTGGGGCAGCTAGCCCAGCCTCTGCCTGGGGAGACACGTGCTGCTCAAGTCTAACCACGGAAACAGTAGGAAGGCAGGCCCAGAGGCAGCAAAGAGCCATGGATGTGACTCTTGGTTCAGCCTGATCCTGAAGCCAGAGCAACATGTTGGGCCCACCTGCTTCAGGGACTCAGAGTAGACTGAAGCTGAGGAAGAGCTTTGAGAGCTCTGAGGAGGGAGCAGGGAGGCAGCCCAGAGGGGTCCTGGGGGGGAAGAAAAACCCAGGTAGTGGTATCAAAGTCCTTGGTACACAGGGTCTCCCTTAGACTGTATCTCCGTTCTTCCTCTAAAGATAGAGTCCAGGGTGGGGCAGAGCAGGGTCTCTGTATGTCTGTGCCTGGGAGAGGGCATCTGTGGGCCAGACCTGGGCCTGGGGCTTTGCTTATAAGGCAGAGCCCACAGGGCAGAGTTGGGGCAAACCAACTTTCTTCACCAACCTAGGGCTGGCTACAGGCCTGTGGAGACAGTGTTGGTTAAATGTCAATACCTATACTCCGCTGACTCCCAGACCACTCACTACTCCTGGCCCAGCTGCCTCCTGGCCATCATCTCCCGTGCAAGTGACCTGTTCCTCCTGCACCGTATCCCTGGGACCTTGTGCTACCGGATCTAGCACCCCTCCATCCCTCCTGCCACCGTGGGCCACCGTCTAGACCTGCAGCCTTTCCATCCAACCCTTTCCTTTACTATGGCCAGAGCAACTTTTTGTCGCTTTTAAGACACAAAAAAGCTCACTGCAGCCTCAAACTCCTGCAGCCCCAAACCCCTGGGTTTAAGCAGTCCTCCCACCTGATCCTCCCAAAGGGCTGGGATTACAGGAGCACACCACCATGCTAGGGTCAAGAGTGACTTTCTAGGGTTATCACAAGTCCAGTCCTTTGGAGTTCCCCTGCTGCCTTCAGAGACCACCCCCAACCCCAGCATGAAACTTGGAGCCCTTTGGATGTGACCCTGCTGGCTTCTCAGCTGCATCTTCATTTCCTTGCTATTCACACATTCATTACTCATTTAGAGATGAGGTCTACTGTGTTGTCCAGGCTGGTCTCATTCCTGTGCTTAAGTGATCCTCCTGCCTTAGCTTCCCGAGTAGCTGGGCCTACAGGTGCTTGCCACCATGCCTATTTCCTTGCTATTGTGAGTGCATCTCAGACATGCTTTTCTGTCTTCCCAGAATGTTCTCCTTCCCTCCCAGCCCCAAATTCAAATTTTTCTCTCAGGATCCCCCTTCCCTCACCTGCCAGGCTGGGTAGAGGCCGCCTCTGTCCCTGAGCTCCTTTCGTATTTGCCTCCCTCCATTTTAAGACAAGAAACTCTTGGGAGAGGCCAGGATGGGAACAGATTCCCTGGGATCAGGCCTGGCACAAAGAACACCTCAGGGAATGTTTATTAAATGGTTAAATTCTGTTATTCAGGCAGGATGCAGTGGCTGTTGCCTGTAATCGCAGCACTTTGGGAGGCTGAGGAGGGTGAATCACCTGAAGTCAGGAGTTTGAGACCAGCCTGACCAACACAGTGAAACCCTATCTCTACTAAAAATACAAAATTAGCTGGCCATGGTGGTGCATGCCTATAATCTCAGCTACTTGGGAGGCTGAGGCAGGAGAATCGCTGAAACCTGGGAGGAGGAGGTTGCAGTGAGCCGAGAATGTGTCATTGCACTCCAGCCTAGGCAACAAGACAGAAACTCCGTAACAACAACAACATTCTCTTATTCAAGGACTCAGCCAATCTAACAGTCTAATAAGTCTTGGGTTCCAACATTCTTTGACACTAGGACTCCTACCCTGCCCCAGCCCTCATGTTCTGGCTCCCAGCAGCCACCAGGGGTCACCAGCTGCCTAGTCTACTGTGGCCATTCCCGTCTCCAGGGACACGCGGCTGGGGAGACAGACACTCTGGCAGCCACCGCGACTGAGCCCTTAGGAGGTGCCAGGCCCCACCCTGCACCCTTTCTGCAGTGTTATTTGTTTCTCCTAATCACATTGTCATGCAGATACCATGTTTCCCAGGTGAGAAAACAGCTTGGAGAGGCCACACAGCTGGACTGTGGCTGCATTACACACACACTTGGCAGGGCTGCCTGGCATGTCCCCCTCTCCCCCAGGGTGTGCCCCCTGCCTGCCACCTCAGGGGTTGTGGTGTGATGCTAGCCTGTGTCTAACCTGACTCCCCCACTGCATCTTCACCCTTTTCTGTTCTGGGTCCTGACCTGGATGGTTGGTGTCCTTTGAAGCAAGGGACATGCAGGGACACAGGAATGAAGGAACTTCAATCCTGGGAGGCACTTACCAGCTGTGCCATTGTGTTTCTCCCCCATTTCACAGGGTTGTAGTGGAGACTGTGCTTAGAGAGCCCAGAGGAGGTGCTCAGGAAATGGTCTGACTGATCTCTGGGACAGTGACCTCTCGGCTCCCCCAAAATCTTCCCTTCTACTTTATGGGCGCAATCTTACCACACATGCTGCCACTGTGGGGCGGAGTTGACTCTCTCAGGGAACACATGTTCATCTTAATTTGCTTAGAGGTCCCCGTCCCAGTAGGAGGGGGTGCTTCCTGGAAGAACAAGTCTAGAAGGCCAGACAGGCCAAGGAGTTCCTGGGAATGAGGTAGGCAGGAGGAAGAGGAGCTCACAAACTGAGCAGAGGAGTTCAGAGGGACATGTCAGTAGGAAGGCTGTTCCTCCCTCCAGCATCTTCAGTCCCATCCAGCAGAGGGGTGAAAATAGACGCTGACAGCCCCTCCAGGCTCTCAGCAGTCAGTGCCCAGGTTTTCAGGACTCTGGTGCTTGGGTTGCCTGCCTGAATTTGGGTGCCTAGCTCAAATCTGGAGTGGCCTGCACTCATGGGTATAAAAACTGAGGCCCACAGATAGGGCAACTCCCTTGGATCACAGAGCAGAGCTGGAATAAGAACCCAGGCCTCTGATTCCCGCTTTTCTAAAAATTGGATTCAGGTTCTAAAGAGGGGCTGGCCGGACCTTCTGGAGGCCTAGTCCTAGTTTCTCCAGTTCTGTCTTCCTGGGAGATCTTGGGCAGGTCACTGTGACTTCCAGGCTCTCCCACCTGTGAAACTTCCTGCCCCAAGCCTCCCTAAAGGTGACATGGCTCTTCTGCCCAGCTGTTCTGTAGGCATGAGGACCACAGCCTCTGCTTGCCCTGCCCAATCTCAGGCCTTAGTGAGCCTGAGAACCCCCCGAGGGAGAAATGACAGATGCCCCTATCCTGTGCTCCTGCTGCCCGTTGGTCATCTCTCAGTCCCTGACTTCAGTCTGCTATTTCCGAGTCTCTCCCACCAGATGCAAGCCCCTCAGTGACAAGGGACAGGGCTCCAGAGACCTGAACGTGACCTGAGGCAGCAAATTTGCTGAACTGAATAGAGGTGGTCTCCAGAGAGATCTGACACCATCAGATGTGGACCCATTTGTGAGATTCAGACATACCCATGCGTAGATATAGGCCCTTCCACTGGAGGCACATCCACTCATCACAAATATTTTCAGTTTATCTGTACATTACCCTGTTCCATCCTCTTGGATCTTAGAAGTTTGTACTATCTGCTAGTTCTTACTTTACAGATGAGGAAAGCAGGGTCCAGAAGGTGAAGGGATGAGCCTAAGGTCACAGGTAATCTGAGGTGGCACGGGGACTGGAATAAATCTTTTGGCTGTGCTTTCTCTGTCCCTCACAGGAGCAAGTGGTGAAGGGTGAGTGCTGTGTGCAGTGTAGCCTGTCCCTGAGTTCTTTTCTGTTATGTTTCAACATAAAACAATCCAGGAAAAGGCCAGGCACAGTGGCTCATGCTTGTAATCCCAGCACTTTGGGAGGCTAAGGCAGGTAGATCACCTGAGGTCAGGAGTTTGAAACCAGCCTGGCTAATACGGAGAAATCTGTTTCTACTAAAAATACAAAAAAATGAACCGAGTGTGGTGGCGCATGCCTGTAACCCCAGCTACTTGGGAGGCTGAGGCAGGAGAATCGCTTAAACCCAGGAGGTGGAGGTTGCAGTGAGCCAAAATTACACCATTGCACTCCAGCCTGGGCAACAAGAGAAAAACTTCGTCTCAAAAAAATAAAACAACCATTCCAGGAAAATATTCCCAGACCAGAGCTCTCAGAAACAGACATGGCAAAAGTGTATTTTTTGGCCTCTGGGACTAAGGGAAAATAGTCCAGGAACAAGATGCTCTTTGGCATTCATTTGGTTC